CCCCCCACCTCGTGGCTATAGTGCTCCACCCCTAGAATATAGACTTTACTGGGGTTTGGTGACACTTTGTGTTGCTTCAGTCACCTGCTCACGGCTCAACCCCCTAACATTTCTGACACTCATTTATTGCCTGGGTGGACACTCATTTATTGCCTGGGTGGACACTCATTTATTGCCTGGGTGGACACTCATTTATTGCCTGGGTGGACACTCATTTATTGCCTGGGTGGACACTCATTTATTGCCTGGGTGGACACTCATTTATTGCCTGGGTGGACACTCATTTATTGCTTGGGTGGACACTCATTTATTGCCTGGGTGGACACTCATTTATTGCCTGGATAGACACTCATTAAGTTAATGACGTCCTAACTTAGTACAAGTTATTAATTTTCTCGCTTGTCCATGCATTTGCAGGAAACAACAGTTGTCTAAAGAACCAAGCAGATTAAAACAGTCAAGTGGAAAGAGTAATCATTATATAGGAGATAAAAGTAACATTCCACTAACCAAAACGACAAAAGTGTTGAACAAGAAATTTAAAACACCATTAAAGGAATGTCGATCACCGTCAATAAAGGATACGTACAAAGACACCGACCTTGACATGAGGTATATTGTTTCCTTTTTTACTGTAATTAGGGTACAGATCTGTTTATATGTGCATGGGGTAAAATCGACTTGCCTTATGAATCCCTACCCTGGTACGCCACACATGAAGTCAAGAAAACTAATTTGTAATATCACCCTTTAATGTAACATTTTCCTTGGAAAAAAAGGATAACTGGGGAAGGGGTTCATATTGAATCAACTTTGTCTGACTTGTAATTATTATACTGTCATGCAGTAAAGTAATTAAATTGGGATTTCCTAAAGGCCCGTTTACACTACATAACTCATAAGTTAAGTTTTGCTGTGTTTTAAGGTACGTTTACACGTTGCTATTTGTCCGCTACGATTCGTATTCTGGCGTATGCAATTGAGTAACCATGCGTACACGTTTATTTATATTACATTTCAAATTTCGCCATAAACTAAACGAAGAGGAATTGTGGCGTTAGCACTAATTTTCATACGCCAGAATACGAATCGTAGCGGACAAATCGCATCGTGTAATCGTACCTTAGGTGCGATTTTCTTCTTCTGATGGATGTGAACGGATGGGTGAGTTATGAATGTTCAGATGAGGATACATGACCCAGAACATTTATATACCATCTACTCGTTCACATTCATCAGAAGAAGAAATTCGCACTAGAAATCGCAAGCAAAAACTGCAAGTGTGGACGGGTCTTAATAGAAAGCTAAAGAATGCGACGTTTTGTATTCACGAACGCCGACCGGAAACAATTCGAGCTGCTCTTGGTTTCAAGCACGAACTGCTGACGCCATTGTTAACGGCTAAATTATGTACGCATGCATGTTCATAGACTGAACAGTGATCTCCATATATATCTGGAGCAAGAACTTCAGTCATTCGGCCTAAAAGTAATGCCAAGATGGCGGCCATTGACGTCCAATAGCTCTGAAGGTCTAAACAGCTTTTATACCATTTTCCCCCAGCTAATTCCTGTTTTTTCTAACCGTATCGCTAACCAAGTTATTAGTCATAAAAGCATAGTGTTATTCGCTAAATCGATGTCAAAATACGAAATTTCGGCACACTCCTTAATTGCGAAGATCTAGATGGCGGAAATTGAAGGAGCTATGGACGTCTGTTCCAGTCCGTTTCTATTGTTTTTGTCTGCGCGGTTAACACGAAGCTGGCTTCACTTTTTGGACGCGTGTTCTCGCTCCAGATATATATGGAGCTCACTGAGACGGGATTGGAAACTGTGAATATGCATGGAGAGAGGAGAAGTGGAGAACAACCGTCCCACTTGCTAGACGTCTCGACGGTCTCGTTATCTGGGCTCATATTAAAAGGCCTTATATTTTGCAATACTGGAATTAAATTTTGATCTTTAATTATAGGACTCGTCTAGAATTATGGTTGAAAGATAAAGGGTAAGAGTTGACCTAATATTTTAATATCAATTACAATTTTATATATCGTACTCTGCCTTACAAAATTAAGAGAATTCATTACGGCCTGCAGAGGAGGCAGGCGCATGCAGATATGTTGTTACGATGCAAGTACGTCGGCTGGTAGGTAGCACCAATCAGCGACTAGTTAGCTTACAATGACCTAATGTTATCTGGAAACAAGGAAAATCCAAGATGGTGGCTACATGTCAAAAACATGAAGCAAATCACTCACGAAAGTCAAGAGTGTGTATTGGAGAACTTAGATTGCTTTGTAGAGCGCGTGGCAAAGGGACCTTGTTTATGTATTCCACTAAATGTTATACTGTATAATATAGTATACTGTTGGGTGATAATATTTCCTGTAACTTTAAGATGTTAATTTTGTATACCAAGAATTGATATTAATAACCGAACCAAGAATTAGTAATAACAGTTTCGACATCATGGCGGTCGGTTCATTTAGTCGGTCTGTCGTTTTAGTAATATTCTTATATCTTGTGCTTCATTTGAAACCTTTCAAGCCTCATGATATCATTCCTGATGCTCACCAGGTATTGACGACTGACTTAAATGCCCACCGAAGGGTTTATCCTACAAGAAATACGCCTGGTATTAGTCGCCATTCTCGCCAAATACCTTCGACACCGCCATCTGTAAAAGCCAAGGTCGGTTGTCATCTGCTAAAGGCCACTTTGATCGCATCTTGCCTTATTTTGTTGGGCGGGGATATTTCGCAAAATCCTGGCCCTGGATATCGTAGTTTGGACCACATTAGGAAGAGCCGTGGGTTGAAGATTGCACATTTAAATATTTGAAGCCTTCGGCATAAAACCGACTCGTTACGTCTGGAGGGTTTTGACACGAAGACTTTTGATGTTCTTACTCTGAGCGAAACATGGCTTAATCATTCCATTGAAGACTCTGAGATAGCTCTCCCAGGCTTCACATGTGTTCGAAAGGACAGGACAGAGACTAACAAGGGTTATGGCGGCGTTGCGATCTATGTACGGGAGGGATTGCCTTTTCAAGTGAGAAATGATCTCCACTCACTTGAACACGAGTGCTTATGGATTGAAATTACCCGTGCAAAATGTAGATCGACTTTGATTTCTTGCGTATATATAGAGCACCGAATATAGACTTTTCGGGTTTTATTTCGAATTTTAATAGCTGTATGGAAAACATCAAGTTGGATAAATGCGATCTTGTGTTGCTCGGTGACTTTAATGCTAATATGCTTCTGCATTCCAAGAACAAAGAGAAAAAGGAGCTATTGAAATTCATGCGGGTTTTTGACCTCACACAGCTCATCACCGACGCAACTCGTGTGACGGAAACCACTCGTAACCTTGTAGATGTGATTTTAGTGAACAATGATCATCGCATCACTGACTCTGGTGTTGTTTCGGTTTCGCTAAGTGATCACTATCTCGTCTATTGTGTTCTAAAGTCTGGGATAACAAAGGCCCAGCCTAAAACAATCGAATACCGCTCATACAAGAATTTAAATACAAACAGCTTTGTCGCGGATCTCAATAATGTGCCTTGGCATGTTATTGAAAACGAGGACGATATTGACAATGCAGTGCTTAGTTGGAATACATTGCTTACAGAAGTTGCTAATTCACACGCCCCTGTAAAAAAACGTAGAGTGAGGGGTGTTCCTATACCTTGGATTAACAATAAAATCAATGAGTTAATGAAAGACCGCGACTTTCACCATCGTAGAGCTGTTAAAACGAATTCTGTTCATCACTGGGCTAGATACAGGAGCCTAAAAAACCTGGTCAACCGTGAAATCAAGTCTGCAAAATCTAAGTACTATTGCGACCTGATTAATGAAGCGAAAGGGGATTCTGGAAAGATTTGGAAAGCTGTTAACGAGGCTTCATCGCGTAATGTTAAATCCTCAAGTCCGCAGTGCATCGTGACGGAAGGTGTTCAACACACTACTCCATCTTTCATTGCTGCTGCAATGAATTCTCATTTCACCTCAATCGGGAAAACTCTGGCAGATAAAATATATTCTGCAGTTGCTGTCGTATCGTCAACGCCCGTCATGTCACAACCGACCCCCGTCTTTCAATTAAACCATGTTGACGAAGACACTGTGCTCAATCACTTGCTGTCCCTCAAGACAAACACGCTATTGGGCTGGATTTTATTAGCGCTAGACTTTTGATATATGGTGCATGTGTGATTTGTCGTTCGGTTACACGGTTACTGAATCTGTCTATTAGTTCCGGTAAATTTCCTGACATATGGAAGTGCTCTAAAGTAAGCGCTTTATTTAAATGTGGCGACCGGACAAATCCAACTAATTATCGTCCCATCTCAATCTTGCCGACACTCAGCAAGATTATGGAAAAAGTTGTTCGTTCTCAGTTTTACAAATTCCTCAACTCACAAGATCCACTCTCCAGTAAACAGTTCTGCTTTCGTCCCAAGTATTCTACCACTACAGCTTTATCTAATTCTGCGGACGAGGTCTTACTAAACATGGAGCAGGGAAACCTCTGTGGCGCGGTGTTCTTGGACCTGACTAAGGCTTTTGACACTGTGGACCACTGTATCTTGTGTCTAAATTATCGGCAATTGGGGTTTCGCCCAGTTCTATCAAATGGTTTGAATCCTATCTTGGTAATCGGAAACAGCGAACCTCCTGTGGGAATGAATTATCTGATGCCCTCCTAGTAACTGTCAGTGTGCCCCAAGGAAGCATCCTGGGTCCGCTGCTTTTCGTGGTTTATATAAACAACCTACCTGATGCTGTTATAAACTCGGAATTAACGCTGTATGCTGATGAGACGGTCTTGTACTACTTTTCCAAAGATCCACGGCTGCTTGAAGATAAGCTAAATGAGGATTTCCTAAGGGTTGCTCACTGGCTTCGTGAAAACAAGTTCACCCTGAACCTTGACAAGACTAAATCAATGATAATAGGCAGTAACAGGCAGCTCGGGAATGTCTCCTCGTTATCATTATCTATTTTTGATACTGATATTAATACTGTATCTAGCTTTAAATACTTGGGTGTAATGCTGTCTACAAATTTTACCTGGACTGATCACATAGAATATATCTCGTCTAAGATAAATAAGAACCTGGGTCTCTTACGCAGAATTAAGCATTTGTTGCCCCACCGAGCTCGCCTGCTTTTTTACAATAGTTTAGTCTTACCAATTTTTGACTATGTTGACTTGGTCTGGGGGGACAAGGACAATCCTGTTTTATTGGGTGAGCTCCAAGTACTACAGAACAAGGTTGCGAAGATAATATTAGATAGACCTTTGTACTCATCGGCAACTGACGCGCTGACAGCCCTGAAATGGCTCGATTTACGTCGACGCAGGAATTTCAATCGCTGCATTCATATCTGGAAGTGTGTTAATGGTCTTACGGAGCATTCTCTAGACATTCTTAAATGTAGTCAGATTCACAGTCATAACACTCGAAATAAGGACACAATAAGGCTACCTAAAATTAAACGCAATTGGGGGAAACAACGCACTAACTATCAACCAATCAAAGACTGCAATGATTTAGACAGTGATACAAGGAATGCTCCAACACTAGTGTCTTTCAAGAGAAATCTTTTTTCTAAACTTTTAACCTAAAGCTTGCTTAGAGCATCGTGACTTACAGTTTTAGACTTTTGACTTTTAACTAGTTTTAGATTTTTATAATTGCATGATTACTTGCATATACAATGTTCCCTATGTGTAGGACCTTTGCGAAAATCACGTCATATGTGACAAAGCTTTCCTCATTAAAGATTATTATATATAAATGGGTTAATTACTTTAATAGTACGTAACTTAAACTATTCTTTAGCTCTATATGCATATATTAAAAATAGAAAGCACAAATATTGTTACCAACATTGGCTATAAAATGTGAATCAAAGAAAAAGCAAAAAGCATTGCGTAGATACATTGCCTTTGTATTGGCTTTAAGGATTAAAACAAACGACTTACCCTAAAAACAACTGGAATGTATCCCTATACTGTATCCCTATACAATAATGCTGGGCTATTGCAATCGGCGAAGATTTCGTCAACTTTTAGAGGCAAATATAGCGAAGATTCTTCTGATGTGAATCTCACAGCATTAAAACTTAACACACGATAACCCATAGGAGCCAACAGCATAGGCTCTGACGATTCACAATGAACAAAAAAAAGACCGTGTCCTTCCAAAACTGAAGCTTTTAATTTGGCGGTGAATCGGCTTTACAAAATCCGCCATATTTCTCACTCTTGTTGTTTTGACAGTGAAGGTCAAGCGAACAATAACCGCCCGCTCGTAGAAAATCAATAATATATACCGTAATTAATTAGAATAATCGCAATGCATCACGGTATAGTGACCACTCCTCCACTGGAGCACACGTGACCATTACTTAATTTTGTCGCTAATTTCAATGGTTTATTCAAGTGTGAAGATACTAAATGTAAATAATGATATATCCAAACTTCCAAGTCTTTGAGTTGAGATAATGGAGAAGTTTTCGATAAAATCCATCGTTCTAAAATGGTATTACTTCTGATGCGTTGGGAGTTTGGTTATCTACTCAGAATTCAATTATGTATACATGAAACAACTTGGTTTAAGCCCACGGCAGATTGGATTTACAAATCTCATGGGAGTTCCGAGTCTATTCATACCATTATGTCTATTCATTGATGACAAACTTCGAGCACGAAAACTTTTGGTTACTATTGGATTAGTTCTTCTGATCGTATTATATTTTCTGTCGCTGCTTCCTTTAATATTTTCGTCACCAGCGCCTTCTTGTTCAACACCAAACAAGTCGATAGCGTTAAGATCTAAACATTCTATCAATGGTTCAGTGCTTTCAAGATATTCTACAAATAACTTCATCGCCGACAATGCTGACTCGGCGCGCCGAACACCCCACACAGACACAGAGACAAGTTATTCTGAAAATGTTCCCTGGCTTAGCAAATTGTTTCTCCTAATAGTTGTGTGCAGATCAGCATTGGAATGTCCACATCGAATAGTCATAGCTCTAGCAGATATGGTGACAATTGCGTACCTTAAAGAGGAAAGAGCAAATTACGGTGCATATTTTATGTGGAGCCATATTGGTGGTGGCATTTCGATATTCGCTGTCGCTATGTTGGCATGATTTGTCAGAATTAACATTTGTGGGACAGAAGATTATGGCTATTTTACAGCGTACATCGTTGCAAGCTGTATGGTGCTACTTTCTATGCTTTCTCTGCCGTGGTTTCAGTATGAATACGACGAAAAAAAAATTATTAACTGGTCAGAAGTAAAATCAGCTCTATGCAATGTTCACTTCGCACTCATGTTTTGCATTCTTTTTTTTACCGCAATTAATCTAGCTTTTCAGATATACTGGGAGTTTTGGTATTTAGACGGATTGTCTGCAAGTCCTTTAGTAGTGGGTATAGCTGGATTAATTCGTCGGCCAATGCTGGCAATTTGGATGCTATTGTCTTGCGAGTTGCTGAAAAGAATTGGTGAGCTGAAGGCCATATGTATCGCGTTGTTTCTGTTCGCTCTGTCCTTTTTGACTCTGTCCTTCACACGGGTACCATGGTTTGTGCTGGCTATCGACATATTTCAAGCGGCTGCTTACGGACTGGCATTTTGTAGCTTCACAGTGCATTTTTCAAAAGCAGGTTCAAAAGCAAGTTCAGGAGTTATTCTCGGTAAGTCATTCTTTAACTCATTTCCAAATTTATAATAATTTAAACAGGACAAAATAAAAGAACCCGGGTGCAGGTTCCATTTGTATTCACAACTTTGTGGGAGCAATGCGGGTGCAGAAGATTAACACGAACATAGAATATTTGCTTGCGAATAGGAATTTTATGTCTGTCATCTTGTTATTATTATCATATTAATTAACTCTGCCAAGGGTTTGGAGAAAACCTGCTTTGCAAAGATAAAACTTTAGCTGTAGGTAAATAGTTTAACTGATGGAACAACTACATTATTTACAGGGTGCTGTCATATAGACGCACTCAAACATTTTACGTTTAGTCGCTTATAGTCAGCTGTCGAGGCAAGTCATTATAGTATAGTTTACTCGCGCAAGATGACAGACATAAATAATATTATGCGTAAATGAATTCCTTGTGTCTGTTTGCATTGATTTGCTTGTGTTTCACTTTAAATTTTGTTATAAATAGATAACTGCTCTTTGATTTTTGTTTTGCCCATTTGTTAAAAAATATGCCCTTTTGAGAGTTAGAGTTTAGGAGTGTGTCGTTGTTAAAAATCGTGCGTCGTGGGTAAAAAGACGCGGTGCGCCATATGTATAAGGTGTGGGTCGAGAAATGCCCTAAATTTGTGGGGTTTTGGACCAGGAACTAGTGCCCAATTGCTGCTAATCTTGTTGTTGTTGTCGTTGTTGTCGTTGTCGTTGTTGTTGTTAGGGGGCGACGCTCTTCGAAAAAATCCTAAATAGGGCTTCTTCTTTTTGAGACCGATCGTCATGAAATTTGACAGGATGATTTGAAACGATATTCCTCATCGAATGACGGTGTCCGATTTTTTATTTTCGATATAAAGGCAATTCTTGTCTGTACGAGCTGTAGAATAATAATATACATATGATTAATATTCACACAAACACTAACCATAACAAAGGCAGTCATGGACCAGCGACCAACCATTAAATTGTTATTAACTCGTTATTCAAATTTAATGTTATAGTCGCTTGTTCATGACCGTCTTTGTTGTGGTTGGGGTTTCCCTGTTAATGGACGTGATATGAGTTAGCTGAATAGTAATTCTACAAGCATTTTCACCGGACAAATAGAGTGTAGATAAAAGACGTTTATAAACACATGATTACTAGTTTACTACTGCAACTAGTACTACCCTTTATTAAAGTATACCAGCCTAACATCTGTAAAATTAACATGTTTTAACCCGTTCGAATTATTAGCAATGAAATATTTTAATCAGCATTCAATAAGAATGTATGATAGGCTATGCAGTACACGTCGGGCACGCGTGCTCGCAAAAGTTGCGAGATGATCGAAGTTCGTCAGCGGTAATTTACTGAATACTTAGTGTAAATTAAAATTTCTGACTTC